TCTACATTCATATGTTGAACAAATAAATAGGAATTTTATAAAATTTCCTTGAAATATGATTGATTTTGATGTAGATTTTAGCTTCCAAAAAGTGCTTGAAAAGCATTCTGAGAGTGCTCAGAAAGTCCTTGAAAAGTGCTTGAAATTGATCTGAGCAATTTAGTATGAACCATGGTCTTTGTATGACAACCTTTTCATCTCCGGTATCATCCTCACTCTCCTCTGGACCTTTTATGACAATGTTGTTTCTAAGGTGACCTAATCAATACTTATACAATGAAATTAAAACCTCTTTACCTTTCAATTCATTATTTCTATAGATTCAAACTAAAATTCTATTTGGCCAACCAATAACAACAACTTGCTGCTTGGATGGCTTAGGAGATGATTACCATAACACCAAGATCGTTTTTTCTATAATACCTTTAAGATTAACAGATTCTGAACAGTCATATTAAATTTAGTCACAGAATGTTGAGTATGTTATATTAAAACAATTTTGTAGTATAAAAATCAATTCATGTGACAAATGTTGTTGATATAAAGTCATGATGGAATAGAATTTATCAAAACAACGTTTTGGCAATGTTTATCATTTCGTAGATAGCATGATGATATCAAAAACTTATTGCTTTTGGGAAAGGAATGTAAAAGCCATTTACAACACAAAATATTCATACACTTGGATCATAAATATGTGCTCAGAATTGGAACTTATAATTTTCAAAGTGTGGATAATGCTTCTACTTAATAACATTGGAAAACAAAAGAACATGGATCAACTTGGTAGATAAGGACCATCCAGAAAGAGACCTGCAACATGTTATACCCCAGGTGTGATAAGCAAAGTGTGGTGTTTTGTAGTGGCAAATGCTGTCCACTTGCCTTGGGCAACAGTACACAACATAATCAAGAAGGATCTCCATCTGGAAAAATGAAACAAGTCACGTATATATAAGTTGCTTCCATAACATATTTTTTAAACCATTGCATACATGAAGCAGCTGGAGAATGAAATGAGTACTCATGCTATTCCATATGAAAAAATAGCGGTAAAGTTACCTGATGTAGCATCTGTTAATTTTTACATGATCAGACTGTTAAAATGGGCAATATGAGATGTTCATCCTTGAACAATAGATGGCTTATGGAATGCATTCCAAGAGGAGGAGGTGTGCTTTAGACATGACAGCCTTACATCAGAGTATTTTGCAATTGAAACTATGCTGCAGGACTATTATCAAAATGTACAGTTGTGAGATCTATTAGAGCACAAAAAGAATTGGCAACATGGTGAGGCTTCAAAATTGTTTTAATACAGTATACTTAACAAGAGGGAAGAAAGCTACCCTTTACTTTGTTGCCTACAAAACACACTGTCTACATGATGTTAGATCATTTCAAATTTAAGTAATGATATACTTACAAACACTTTTTAAATGAGGAATTGGTACTGATACTTATCTGATTAAAAATATTTTTTATTGCCATAGTAAATAATTTCAAGTATTAGGTGTTTCACTGCAAGTATGGATGACTATTAAAAGCAATAATTGGCTGGAGTTATATTGTAAATTAACTAAAAAGCTAAATGTATCAATATTTCAGGGCAAAAACCTGTTTGGACTGTAAACCATTAGCATGTTAACCCTATCTTGACCGGACATTTATTTTGCAGGACCTTGAAAAATCATGGAGCAAAGTGTACTAAAACTCTGAATTTAATAAGTGTATCTTACCGAAATTTGGCAAACTGTTAGTAAACATTACAAGTCTATTGTATATAGTGAATCAGAAGTTTTAATACAGTTTTATATTTTATGTTATATCTTCTACCATAATACTTACTGTAGCTAAATCATTAGTGTACAGTAAAAATGAAATTATGATATAAAATTAACAACTCTTGTTTGTTTGTTTTTTCCTTCTTTGAATACCTCATTGTGGAACATTGTCAGTATTGTTATATTTGTAAGCTAAAATATTTGACATTATACATATGGTGTATTCTAATTTTATCTTATTATTATATGGCTTGTAACCATGTGCACAGTTTATTCATCCATGAAAAGCAACACATCACAGCAGGAACAGATTAGCAGATTATACTTAAACAACATAGCTAAATAGGCCAATTTTTTTTTCTCTAAATTTTCTTTTGAAACAAAGTTTTAAGTACCTATCAGATATTTATTTTAGAACATAAGCGATACATAACTCACTAAAATATGATGTCCAAGCACGACTATTTCAACTGGCTTTCTAACTAAGCTATAAAGAGGTTTAAAAATTATTAATGCTATGGTCATCACCTTTGCTTACACACACATCAATCACTTCTTCTGGATACCAAATTCAAAAGGACAGTTGCATTTAATTTTGGAAAAACTACCAAATCAGCACAACTCGACACAGTGATACAGGATGACATGAGTAAAACAGTATGTCTTTCTTTTCAGTATTGATACCTTATGTATTTTTATTGCACTTCTAATTTTTATTATGTTGAGAAAAAAATAAGAGCACAATTTCCTATCCTTTATTACAAATGAGTTTTTATTTCACCCGTCCAGGTACTCCAACTAATTGATAATTAAGTTTTTAATTAATTTTTGTTTGTAAGTCATGACTTTTTTTTACAGAGTTTTTCAAAATTTAATTACACTACATTATTACCACTGTATGCTATTAAAATTGGCATCAAAACATAGTTTATCACTGAAATGTTTATATTATCTAGATTTTAATTTTTTAATTTGAAAAAAAAATATTTGAATAAGTTTTTAATTTCCATCTGCCAGAAGTCACATTGACTTCTCATTTATAAATTTTGTCTCTTCCCTTACAAGGGCTTCAGTGTTCAACCCATTAGAAACATGCACCATAGATATTGATAAGCCAGAACATAAAATTTCAACTTTTTATCCTTTAGCTTTACTTAGATATCACTATTTTTGTTTAACCCACATTGACACACCCCTCTCATATTCTCTGTCTTTTAAGAAATGTCTGTAATTCTGTCTGACATTGCTATTGGACATGCTTAAATCAATAGAAAGAGAAATCAGACAATTGTCTGTTTTTTTAAGCAGTAAAAGCTGATAATTTGTTGTGAGAGCTTCATGGTTTTGTACTAAAGACATTGATACATTCAGTAATGAAATTTTTTACCATATTTATAGGTTATTTAGAATGCTAAACAAATTATAGTAGTTTTACAGGATACTAATCTAGTGTCTGATATATTTTTATGTTCTAAAATGCATATTTGATAACTACATGAATTATTTTTGGTCAGTCAACATGGTGAGAAAAAGGGTTTATGACCCCCCCCCCCCACACACACACACACACACAAACCCATGTGTGAAAAGCCTCAAGACCAAAGTAAGTGCTAAATTTTGTGGGTTTTATAGATATTTTGTATTTATTCATATATAATTTTAATAGAAGTAACTATAATGTAAAAATTTGAAACTTGTTAGGTTAGATAAGAAAACTTAAGTGTAAAAAATTAAAATATTTCTCCTCAAAGAATACATGTGAGCTCTCATTACATGATGTAACTTAATACTTTGTTAACCCAAACTTGTACTAAGCTTTCACTAGGTGGTTTATTGCTTTGCTAGCTGGACACAGCTCAAAGAGAAATAAGATTAAATGAAAATGGACATGAAGTTGTTCTGAGTTGGAGGCTGTTTAGGATAAATAATTGTAATTGTCTGTTACAATATTCAGTCGCTCTAGAAAAAAAAAATTTGTTTTCTTTTTATTTCATATTTTTCAAATTTCATTATGGATGATTTTGCTACATTTAGTGTTAGGATAGAGAAAATGAGAGACGAAGTGTAAAGTTTTCCGAAAATATTTTTTGGATATTCATTTAGGAGATTCTACAGGTTATGTAAATGAAATTAGAAAGCTGTATGGTTAAAAGAAATACTTTTATTCTTAGCATGAAAATCACCTTTCATTCAGAATGACTCGGTAAAGGCTTTGTAAATTCATAGACAAATCCTTAGTAAAAACACTTTATTAAAAAATCAGATTTTTTATGTGAAACGGACTTGTAAGGTTTACTAAAAGCTTGCCAAATTTCACGAAAATATACTTGGTATATATTTGGTATTATACACAGTTTCATGGTTACAAAGTTTTTCAGAATGACCCACCCAGACACACAGAGTTAATTGGATTAATCAATTATTTTAAGTGAGACTAATTGATTATCATAGGTATATTATTATATCAATTAACCAAGTTAGTTGCCAAAACTCTAGTTAAAATATTTTAATTTAGAAATGTATACAAACATAAATACAATTAGGAAGTGTTTTGGTAGTATTTTAGGCATAAAGAAAAACAATTTTTGATGTTTTTTAATATCAACCTCATGATTGAAGAAACTATAAAAGCAGATGTGAGTCATAGAATATATTATAGACATTGCATCTAAGATGAAGTTGTGATAATCTTCTCTTTAATATTACCTGAACTACATAGAGCTGTCAGTGAATTGTGTGTAATAAAGCAGGACCTTGTGTGCTTGTGTAGTCAAAAACTAGAAATGCATCACAGATCATAAAATTGTTTATATCTATCATTAAATTTAAAGCATAATTTGTATAGCAGTATTCCTAGTAATACCTTGACCCAATTAACAGAGTAAATTGTATTGCATTCAAATGTATTTTATTAGGTTTTGGAGTTTATGTATTAAATTACAGTTTCTCCTGACATTATTTTCATGGCAATGAAAATTTCCTTGAAAAAGGTATTACTGTGTATAACAGTATAGTTAAAGTACTCTGTATTTTTATATAGCCAGTGACTATGTGTGTCAAGAAGACCAGAAGGGCCACCATTCTGTAGACAGTTTTACAGATTTTACTGTTATTACAGACAATGAAGAAATTCCCTCAAATACAACTAGTGATGATAAGGAAAGTAATAAAAGCCTGGAAAAGCAAGACACGGCTTCTCTAAACTTGGGTGGCCTAAACCGTGACAGCACCAGAAGTGCCTTTACACCATACAGAGTAAGTTCACAAATGTTTTGTGTGGAAAAGGTTCTTAGTTAATGATGAGTACACTGGAATGGGTGGCAACTGCCTGTTGTAGAAAAAACATTGTCCCCTACATATGTTGTTTTTCCTACAACAGGCAGTTGCTACCCATTCCAGTGTACTCATCATGAATAATCTGTCCAAACAATCCATCAACAAATAATTTCTCTGACTGATATCATTGAAGTTTACTGAGAAGTAAAAGGCTATTTAAATGTATGTAGGTGGAATTGGAAAAAAATAAATCTGACTGAACTCACAGATTTTTTCACATGTTTAGTAGATGTGCAGTGAATAAAACAAGTTATTAAATTGACAGGTAATAAACTGTAATATATGAATCATATTGTTATTTAATAAGCATGTGTGATAATGTCACACTGACAAACCTACTTACAAAAGTAACATCCTTTTAAATAACAAAAGAGGAAACATTTTCATAATGTGGAGAAGACTGAAGAAATATTGTTTCATAGGTATTGTAGATACTGTAGAGTTGAACTGTTAATGAACAGCTCCTGCCTTGTTTCTTGAGTGGATTTTCTAGGCTGAGGCCTGCTTCAATCACTGTGCTTTTTTTGTTTTTTGACATGGGAATTTATGTTGAAAGAGTGGACCTATTGCAGAACTTTTGATTTGACCTCTGTAAATGTTGGTACTTGTATGATGCAACTATTTGTTGTCTGATGTCATTCATTGAGGCTGTGTTTTTTGAGAAGAATATGTCAAAATGTGACTGTTTGGAAAGTCTTGGTGACAGTAGAGGAGTGGTTAGTTTGCTTTACTGTGAAAGAGTTCTTTGATTTTCCATTTTTGAGTTGTGTCGAGGACTGGGTTGGTCGTAGTGTATTTGTAAAAGACTAAAACATGTATTAAGTTTTCATTTCTAATTTAAAAGTGCAAGAATGAAAGATATAAAAATGAGAATAAGTTTGAAGAACATGCAATGCAAGAGTTTGTTCTCAACAACTTAGTCTTTCAAAACTAATATATGTAATGTGTTGTAAAGCAGAATAGACTGAAGAAACACAGCATTTTGATTTTATTGGAAAATTTTTTCGTCTTTTTTTGTTGTTTTTTTGTAAGTAAACTTTGCCCATCAGAAGTCTTTTTGTTGCTTCCTATGTGTGGAGTTTCAAATATTTCAGCCAAAAATATAAACTCTGCCCTTTAGATTTTAATCCAAAAAGGAAAATGAAACTAATTTTGAAATTTAAATGATTTAGTTCTTCCAAAGTCTGCTTCTGCATGTTTATTTTCTAATAAAAAGAAACTAGTGTATGATAATCTTTTCATGTATTTTTTTAAGGTATGGTTTTAATTTTCAAAATAAATTTATGTTACAGCCATCTACTGTGCTAACAAATTTACAACGTGGGAACGTACAAACACAAACACCAGCAGCTTATCCTGGTAAGTTCAGTGACTTTCATGTTTATGACTTCACAAATAATAATTTGCTTCTAATAAAAATAAAAAGATGACAATTTTATTTTGCAGGGTTTTGTAAAAAATAATAATAATAATAAAAGACTCTTTGACACTCTTAGACAAAAAATGATGTTAAGTTATAATTATAGAGCTTATTGAATTGAATAAAAGTTAGTAAAGTTTAAAAAAATATTCAATATTTTAGTGAACAAAAGCCAAAAAACTTTTGTGAAAACTGGAAAAAGGAGATCAAGACTGACACCTAGAAGTTTTCTGTTGTGTTTTTACATTCTTTATTTTTGTCTGAGTGTTAGCTTGTTTCAGATTTTATTTAATCATCAAAGTCTCCTTTTTTTGGTCAGCATCTTCTATTCTTTACTTTTCCATCCTTATTATGCCATTACTTTTGTTTTTAAGTATTAACTGTCTTCATTCACTGGTAATTGTTTCAAAATTTCATTAAAATTGAATATTTTATGTATTACTGCTTTTGTATGAAAACTTGAGTAGTTGTAGGAAAAGGAAGCATTTTAAAGAGGTTACACAAGTAATAAAATATGACACTTGGAAATATTATTTAGTTTCTGACCTTTGCAGACCTAAATTGCAATTTTTATACAGACTTAGAAGTACTTTGATAAATGAAACTCAAATTTAAATAACTAACTTAACTCATTGAGATCCTTTATGTGGCTTCTAAGTATCCTTATTTTACTTCAATAACATTTACAATCTTTGTAAAGAAATTGTTAATTTTAAGAAACGTGACTTCTGTATTAACATAGAGCTAAATTAGTTAATTTTGACAAATAGCACAAGTAAGTATAACATTAAATATATTTTTTAGATCACTGGTATTTTTCAAGAACCTTAAAATAAATGTAGCTAATGTATTTGATGGTTTAAGTATTGACTTCATTGGTATTCAGTGACACTTTTTCATAGCTTTTTCCATTTTATAAAACTAACTAATACATTTATTTAGCCTTTCATTAGAACATTTTGTATTAAAGTGTTATTTGAGTAGGCTTGTCAATAAAATGGCAACATAACATATCATGAAACTAAATATGAAATTTACTCAGAGAAAGAGATATCAGATAAACACTAGAACACAGAGAAGAGAGAAGGTCAAAAACTGATAGCTATACGATGTATCTTTATTTTGCATAATTCTTTTTGGATTGTTTTCATGCGTGTTTGATATTACAGTTATGCTTTAATATCACTCCCAAATTGGTATTGTAAGTACTTTTTTCTGTTGATAGAATGGTAAAAAATCGCTGTCAGAGTGTAACAGTTTTTTATGTTGACTCATCGTGATGTAAATTTACTTTATATCATCAATGAAAAAAAGACTGAAATTATTCCATAACTGCATATGGAAATATTTGACACACTATTTTTTAATTCATCCAGTAAGCAACCTTTGAACAGAAACAATTTTACTATACAGTAAAAAAACAATCATAAAAAACACAAGATCTTCCCCAGAGAACTCTTTTTGTTCTTCCTTTTACCTTGAGAGGGCTCCTTTGGAAAATATAATGCCAGACTATAGGGAAACTTAACTAAAGAAAAGTTTTATACACCTAATTATCCAACAATACCAAAACCTTTTAATTACAATATATTGTGAAGATTTTTCTCATTAAACTAAGAACAGTACATAAGGAAATGAAAGTGCAAAAAACAAATCTTATAAGAATAATAATAAACTTGCAGTTTATTCCATACAATTAATAATTCATCTAGATCATTTCAGTGATTGAACTTAAAATATATAAAAATGATTCAACTAAAATTTAAAAATGGAAAGAATAAAAATAATAGGTAAAACATAAGGGAAAAAATGCTTACTCGTGTATTTTAACATTTTTGATTTTCCTTGTGACAGGAGTATTTGAACAACAAGGAAGCTAATATTTTGGTTAGAATCGGAACCAATTTTTTTTATCTTAAATTAAGTCAAGAAAGATTGCACCTATTTTGTTAGAGAAAAATTACCATCAACCGGTAATCCAAATAGTAAAATGAACGTTAAATCTTCGTTTTTGGGTCTTTTGAAAACTGCTGTAAGAAGTTGCAATCTCCCATTCAACTCCAATGACTGGACTAGCACCACTATAACCATTAAAGGTTTTGTGTTTGTCAGGTTTTATGTATGGGCTGGATCCTTTACAGTAGGTGTCTGTGACTTGTTGGTGATAAATTTCAACAATAAATAAACAGCACATAGTCCTTTTGTTTTAAAATAATATATTAAAACAAGTCAAATGTATATACAAATGTTTGTTACACTGTTGGTTATCACAGTTGTATCCAGAGCTTTAAGTAACGGTTTCCTTTTTGTTCAAGTCCACACAAGCTGGTTCAGCTACTTCAGAATACAATTTGACAAGACAAATTATTCTTCTGTACTCTGTTATTATTATACAATCTGTGATAATTTCACTGTAAAATCACCACTATAACTGTTAGTTACCACAGTTGTATCTAAAGCTTTCAAAAATCGTCTTTTTTTTCTTTTTCATCAAAGTCCACACCGTCTGGTTCAATTACTTTAGTACACAATTTGGCAAGATGAATTATTCTTCCTACTCTGTTGATACAATATAATATGTGATAAGTTCACTTTAAAAATTGCCACTATACATTCTTTATAGCTACACTCACAATCATACAGTCTAGATCTATATCTCAAACTACATTTTGGATGTGTATTTATTGCCCGACAAAGGCCTAGAACTTTCTACACAATATGCAATATTATAATGCAATAATACTCAATTAAAACAATGGGAAAAGTTTAAAAGGTTCTAGTAACATGAGTTAATAATATAACAACCAGCAATTCATAACTAATGAACTACACAACATATCATTCAAAAACAGTTTTGTAAGCAAGCTTGCGATAAAGTATTACTTCTAAAAATATATCAATTTAACACTCGCATTAAATTGAAAGAGTCGTGACATTTGCATATTTATTTTTCATAATCCACAGTACTCTGTCACTCAAAATCGACACTCTATTATGTTATATCACTGACTTGGAGTAATGTGACAACATAAGCATTGAAGTCTCAATAAAGCCAAACGCATTTAAATCTTAATAGAAAGACATTTATTTCTGTTACACCCCAAATAATGGTTTATTTGAGATATGAACTAAATATAATATTTCAGACTGGTATCTGGGTTATGACAGGAAAGAGTTTGAAGATAACCAAACTCATAACAAAAAAAAAACATCAGGTATTTTCTTTGTAACCTAGAGGATAGCTCTCAATATAATCCATCACAGAAATCCATTATTACAGACATTGGTTTTATTATTTTAAAGTTCAAGATGATAGTTTCCATATTCAACAGTTTGCCATGATGAAGAAAAGAAAATAGTAGCTAAAACATTCAACTTGGTCAAACTTGCAAAACCAAATCTGTTGTAGTTGAGCTATAAAAATATGGCAGCAAACTCTTGAAAACACTAATAAAATTAACCTGTTAGCATTCTGAAATCTACTTCTATTTACTTACTTTACTTTTATTAATAAGTCCTTGTTCTATATTTTGTTTTTGTTTTCACAAGACATTTTATTAAGTGAATTACTTTGTACAAATTTTCCATAACCTTGTTTTACCTTAAAAGTTATCACTTTTGTTTTTGTATTACGTAGGTATCTAGGTGACTTGGTTTGTACATCTATGTGTAATGTAAATAGCCAAGACATTGTAAACTATATATATGGTACTATGGTCTGTCTGGTCGATAACAATCTGTAGTTACTCTCTATCTAACTTAGTTGTATATTCCTTCACTGTTTAATCAGCTATATTGGGGAAAAAGTCATAAATATGAAGTAAGGAAGTGCATTTAGGATGAAGAAATATATATATAGCTTTTATTAAAGTATCTCTAATTTCTGGGGCTACCACCATAAACTCACCATTGGATTTTCAGAATGACCCCCATACCCACTATTTTTTCTATTTATTGTTAAATACAAGTGGAAATTATACTGCTGCATGATCTGATAGAACTTTGGGTCAGCAAATATTTTGAGTGAATATCCATTTGATTAGTTAGAAAAGTGCTTTACTAATATTGGCTAGTGACATAATCATTTAGCTCTGTTCATAAAAGTGCTTGTTATTGTTACGTACATTGGATTTACTTCCAGTCCGGATGGTTTTAGTATAGGTTAGAGCTTGTGGCTCCTGCTTCTGAAATACCATAGAAGATTGGTGCCCTATTTAAAAAAAACAACAAAAAACTAACAATATTAGACTTAAGAATTAGCCTATTTTGTGAAAAGATAGAACTGGTAATCAGGTACTTTGTATAGATAAACAGTAATTGTAGGAGTTGATAATTGGTAAACCTTTTGACTCAGTTATTAAAAGTACTTGCTTTCCGTCAACATTTTTTTCTTTTAGATGAAAGGGAAAATCTTGAAAGGTGTTTCAGATAATTGCTGGTTGTGCCAGACATCCTTTGATACCTGCAGTCCCCATGGATGGGACAAAATTAAAGAGGCCTAAAACTCTTTGTCCAAATAAATTTAAGTCTGATTAATTTTTTAATCCCACCACTTTCCACATTACTCCAACCAAACTCCCTAATTACACACCTACTGTTTGTGGTCTATAGAGATGTTATGAACTGTATTGTGCTTATTGTTACTGTTCTTTCTTTCTTTTTTCTTTTCTTCTTCTTCTTCTTCACTGGTTATCCTTATAGGGACCTAAAACACTTTGAAATGAAATCAAGTTCAGAAATATAGAAACCACATATACATATGTATACAATATTTAAATTTAAATTGAATTCAAAGTAATATTCTTTGTTTATAACAAATATGCTATTTGTAAATATTATTTTGGCACTAATAGGTGTATTACATGCATTGATCCTCTGATGTCCTGTTTGTTTTTGTACTGGTGGGTTTACATATTGCATCATACTAAGTAATTTTATGTTTTTGCATGTAATAAAACCCACTTTATAGAACTGACTACACAAAATTAGGGGAAATTGCTCATTTTCTATGTAAAATACATAGAAGACCTTTTCTGTGATTAATGAGCAATTTGATATGTAGTTAGTTTTAAAAAATTAGTTTAAAGAGCTGATGGAATCGCTTCAGTAATTATAGAGTTAAAGTATATGTATTACGTGTGTTTATATGGAATTAACATGTCTTGTTATATTGTTTGTTTGTTTATAACTCCTTTCAAATGGGAACTCAATAATTTATTTTACAGAGGCTCTAAAAAATGTAGACTCGCAAGCTGCGGATCACGGTTTCAAATCCACATCACACCAAGCATGCTCACCCTTTCGGCTGTGGGAGCATTATAATCAATCAATCCCACTATTTGTTGGTAAAATAGTAGCAAAAGGAGTTTGTGGTGGATGATGTTGACTAGCTGCCATCCTTCTAGCCTATCACTGCTAATTTAGGGATGGCTAACACAAATAGCCCTCGTGTAGCTTTGCAAGAAATTCGAAACAAACAAACAAACCAAACCTTAAAAAATGCAAAGAATGCTCCTTGGTTGTGAAATATCACAGTTTAAAAAAAAAATATATCATTCAGACACTTAATACTAAAGATAGAGAAATTTGTTTTGTAAAAAATTGAAAAAGAACTTTTTTGAGACTTCAGTATAAATCTGTATAGTAAATACATGGTTAAGGTATTTCACCTATAATTAATATCAAGAAACTAAAGAAAGGAATGTATACTTCACAAAATACATAGATATTTATTAACTCGAAATTTTTAAGGTTAATCTAAGATTGAGGTTACATAATTTATAAAAAAAATATTGTTTTATGGTTATTATTTTGGTTAAGTTTTAAGACCATTGTCTTTAATTTGTATATGTTTATATACATCTGTATGTGTATATTTTGTACTTTGTAGTAAGCTTTTAAAACTGGATTAATTCGTATTCATTATGTTTAGAACGAACTGTTCATCAACTTGCAGCTCAAGGAGAACTTTTTCAAGAGCACATCACAGGTAAGTTTTAGATTTATTTAACTTGTAAAATATTAGAACAAAGTACATATAGGCCCCGACATTTGTAAAATGCAAGAGAAATGTAACCAGCCCTTGCGAAACAGTACACGAGGACTGTTAGCTGGTTGATGCCATATCTTTATTCTTTATTTACAAAACTGGACAATAAAAGTTGATTTGCATTGACTGAAATGTACTGTTTTTCTGTTAATGAACCTGTGGTTGTATTTCAAGGGCAAAGTAAGGATAAGAGGCAAATATAAGACTTGGTATATTAATTTGATGAATAAACAAGGTAACAATCAATAAAATTTTTATATCCAGTAAAACTGGAAAATTATATCTCCTTAAGAGTCTGACACATAAGATCTCAACTAGAATCATATGGTAATTACTCTTTTGTAGCTTACAGACAAGAGAAAAATGATTAGATTTTTACTAGGAAATAAAGCATCAGTTTCATTATGATGCCGTAGCTCTTCTTGATGATTACTGCTCTCTATATGTGTAAATTTTTGCTTGCCACTTGTCTCGCTCTCTCACCTACCTCCACGTGTTTGCATGTGTCATAGCTGCATTGTAGCATGCAACAACCCTCCACCAATAAGAGTGTGACACACCCTTCTAGCACAACTGATTCCCTCTATACTGTTGAACCCAATCATCACTTCTCGATTTGGCACTTTAGTGTTCAGACGTATAGCTCGCCACTACTTTGTACTTTATTTTTTGCAGGTTTTGTGCTTGGTTTTCTTAAATTTTCATTCGATTTTTTTTGTTTATCTTTTCTTTGATTTTCTATTTTACTTTCAAGATAGTTTAACGTTTGATTTTGTGGCCAACTCTTTTTTAACATGAATTCCTGTATTACTATTACCACGACTTCAATTTTTACCAATTCTAACTGCTGTTACTATGGCTTCAGGAATGACCTTATCTGCAGAGGAGGTTTGGCTCTTATCTGCCATGAACTTGAGTCTTCCATGCAGCCTGAAAGTTCTCTTGAACTTTGACCAGTTATCCCATTCCCAGGGGAGGATGGTCAGGATGATAAGGATTTTGACAGCTTTTTCCCCCTCCTTACTTTGCCATACAATCTTGATCTATGCCTTTAGATATGCCTCAGCCTTTGTCTGCTTCCCTGGACATGGTGACATAGGTTTGTTACATTTTGTCTTTATCCCCTCCTACCATGGCCTGGATGCTTCATTCCCAGTGATGCCAGGTTTTAGACTGGAGTTGACCCACAGATTTGGGTCTGATGCACCCTAGCCACTCTACATTATTTGAAAGTCCACTTTCTTGGATGTGCTTTTTTGCAACACTTTTCTTCACTCTGGGTAAAGAGTATATTTGGTACAGATATGGTGTGATCTCCCATGAGTGTTACCCTATCCACTGAGGTTTCACATTCCATGGGCTCTCTTTGCTTCCCACCCATCTTCCCAACTTCTGGTGCTTAATTTTTGCCTAATCTTGAAGTGGTGATTGGGTTTTACAGTATAGAGGGAGTCAGCTATGTTAGAAGGGGTCTGATGCACTCCTGTTACTGAAAGGCTGTCACATGTTAATTTACATGCTACAATGCAGCTGTGTCACATGCAAACACATTGGAGGTAGGTGGGAGTGCAAGGCTAATGGGAAGCAAAAATGTGTGCATATAGAAGACAGTAATCTTCAAGAAAAGCTATTATGTAAAAAGAGGTATCTATCGGAAATACATTTTCAGTGTCAGAAAGTGTTAACTTTCACTATTTATTCAAAAATTAAAAGTCACAAAATTGCATAAACACACATCTCATAAAAAATTTACTTAAATTGAAGTAAATCTATTTGCATAGTTATTTGTATGTACCAAGATCTTTTGTCCCATTTGTGTGTAACTTTTAGCTCAAGGAGCATCTTCAGTCATTATCATTATAGAAGCACATGCTCCCAGAGATCCTTAGTTTTGACTCCATTCATGTAGTACTTGAATTGTTAATTTTTGGCGTCTTATAAAAATGCTCTGCAAGTGGTTTTAAACACTCAGTTTTCCTGGCAGTTTTACCCCAGTTTGCTGGATCTGTCCAAAATATACTTTGATATAGTTCACTATCAAATGGGGAGAATCTTCATTCAAGACAAACCTGTACACTTGGAATGACTGTAATTCTCAGTTTTATTAGCACAGTCTGCTTTGTTCCTTAGACTGTAGTTGACACTGACAGTACTATATTCTCTGTTTTATTTTTATAGTGCCTTGCTTTAAGCAAATTGCTCTTAAGATTCCCGGAGCCTGATTTCATTTCCAGTTCAAAAGATTTTCACAGTGTGTGCCTGAAGTTTCTTCCTTGAGTTCCTGTAAGGCATTCTTTGCTTTTTCTACCATAGGCAGTATCAGATATCATAAACTGCTTTCTTTTTCAAGCTGCATAGACAGAACACAACATGTATCCAGCACATTTTTGTACAAGCAACATTTTAACAGAAAAGTGAAGTCCTTCATCCTTCTTAAGAGTACTTATAATTTAACCAATACTACTCTCTCCTTGCAACTGACCAGATAATTCTCTGTTGCTTGAGCAAGAAGTACCCAATTACTCAATAAATGATTTACTTCATGTCTAATGTATGCAATAAGTCTTGTCCCATGCAATTTGGGAAAATTAAAATTCTGCACAACAAATGTACTGGAAGTTATCTCAAAGTGCCTTTTGAACTATCCAGATCATTTTAATACACCATATATAGTTGTCATGAGGTCTTTCACATCAGTAAATGATTTTCATACACTGTCTTTCAATGCCAGTTCAACTCTATGGGAAACACAGTGAATGCCAAAGGTGATTGTCATTTTTCAGTTTTTGTTAGCAATCATTATAAACTTCAGTATTAAGAGATACTTCATCAGCTGTAGCTGAAACTAGCAGGTAAGTGTATTTCTCTGCTGGAATTGAAACCTTTCCATCACCTTTGAATACATCATCAATGCTCCTTTTTAGGTTATTTGCATTTACATTGCCAAAGTTATCAATGTCTTATAAGGTAATACAGAAATAAATTGGTATACCTTGCTTCACTGTTCTAATAAAATCGTTTCTTTTCCAGAGCCAATTTTTCTTACCGGACTGCTGTCACTATGCGCTGAAGCTATTACTGAACATACAACCACTGCTACTATATCACTAATGGCTTCTGCAATAATGTTAATAAGTTCTTCCTCTCTATTAGCATTATCAAAATTCGAAATTGGTTGTATCCCATTTTGTTTTTGCTCTTTAACTAGAGTTTTAAATGTTGACAGAGGCTGTCCATCCACAGCAAGCATGTAAACTGTTTTAAGAAGCTTTCTGTATGCCACCTTAGCTTGTGTATGTACAGCTGTGTTTATCTGAGATTGAAGAGGGATACTGGAAGCAGTACCACTGGTACTAGGAAGAGTTTTCTCATCATGTTCAAGCAACCTTTTAAAGCCTTAAAAGCACAAATGTATAAATCATTCATAACGTACATTATAATAAAAACAGCAAAGCTTTAGTTAATAAAATAACTATACAGTAGAATCTATGTAAAAAATAATCCTAATGACTGATAATACAGAAATTTACACCAACATATGTATAGGCCTGCCAGTTAAAAAAAAATAAAAAATCAATAAACAGATAATACTGTACATAAAATATAAACATTTAATTATGTTTAAATTCATTTGTAAATAATAAAGGCCACAAAACCAGTTCTTTGATTACCTTATTGTATGTTCACTTGTCACAAATAACCAAATTTAAAGTTTGCACCTAATTTGAAAATCAGTTAAATTATCAAAAAAAGTTGGGTCTTGGCCAATAACTTGTAAATGCATACAAAGTCAATAACAACTTTAATGTAAAATAAGCCTAATTAAATTGTTGAATTTGTCTAATACACTAAAAATTGTCTTGCAAAAACCATTTTTCCTCCGCTGTGTGTAGATGCTTGCAGTTTGCATACAAGCAAAGGTCTATACAGGTAATGTGTCAGGTTTATATAGGGCTGCGGATTCTTTTACAGTAGGTGACTGTGACTTGCTGGCAATAAATTTTAACAATAAACGTAAAGCACATAATCGACTTGTTTTAAAATAATATATTCAGAATAACTTGGACGTATGTACAAAAACTCGTTACACTATTGGTTATCACCATTGTATTTACAACTCTAAATCTCTTTTACCTCAAAAATCCACTTAGGCCAGTTCAGTTACTTTAAAACCAAATTATTTCTTCTGTCCTATTTTATCACAACATAATAGTGGGTTACCACAGTTGTGTCCAGAACATTAAATAACTGTCTCCTTTTTCTCAAAGTCCACACAGGTGGGTTCAGTTACTTTAGAACACTCTTTGACAAGACAAGTTATTCTTCTTTATCTGTGTTATTACAATATCACAGTGAAACGTCCATTAAATATTGTCCTTTACCACTAAATTAACAATCACACATTCTAACTTCACTTTCACTAACTCAACATTTTCTGACTTCTTTAGAAATTGCCCATCACAGCTGAACTGCCTATCACTCAGTCTAAATCTATCTCTTATTATCACTTAACTTGCTTTCTTTTCTTACTCTCTGTATCTGCACATGTTTATAACACACATGACAGAAAAATCTAGAAATATCCAGCCCTCTAGTGACAATATTACACCCAGTGGGAATAACTTCAAAGCTTTGAGTAAGATGACGTCAACAATATAATGAAAGCCTAATACAATAGTTAATCTGTATACATAACTTGTACAGAGCTACGTAACAAAACTTGTCATAACTATTGCTTTTAAAACAATCAACCTTCAACACTCTTGTCATGAAAACTGAACAATCATAAAATATTAAGTCAGAAAATAAGTTAAATAATAACTCTTATAGTAAACACTTGTATATCCAACACAATGTTTGGGTTTACCTTTGAATCAAAGGCAGTGTTATAGTATAAAGACAGTAAAATGTAGGTAGTTGGTGATACATGTTTTATGTGTAATGACAAACAATGAAGAAATGTCATTATAAATTTGTGTAATGAGTACAAAAACAAGATAAGATTATACATACCTAAAGCAATGTGTATATATATATATATATATATACACACACACACACACAGATATACTTGTCCACCTCATGCCGACTGTACCCTTTAACTTCTTTTAGATCCTTTGTACTGTTTTTAGCACAAAAATTGCACCAAATTTTTGTTACAATGTCTTTTCCTAAGGTGTCCTTTGATGAAGAAAATCCAATTTGTCCACCAAAATTCCATTTGTTGAATGTTGACAACAAAACAAAATTTTGCTGGCTAGACTCAGACGTGTTTACAATTGAAAGTGGAATCAGAACTGAACTTTGACAATTTCTGACCACTGTAACAGTACAGCCCTTGCAGCTTTGTGTCATGCAGAAAATCAAAGTAGTTCATTAAAGGCAACTTAGGTCATGATCAAACTTATTAAAGCTCTTCTTGTTCTGAATTCTCTAATAATTTTGTAATTTAAACCTTAACACAGTGACTTAATTTTTCAGTTACAAATATTAGATGTTTATATAATCCAACAACATAGTTCAGAAATATCATATTACTGTGCTTTTAAAATCACTAATCTAGGCTAATTAAAGTTAAAGTACTGGATAGCAACCACCAAAATCACACAAAATTATCTGTGAGTTTGACCTGTGAAAATAAACTACAGCTGATTGCATGAACTGTCAGGTTTTGAATATGGGGCTGTGGATTCTTCACAGTAGGTGTCTGTGACTTGTTGGTGATAAATTTGAACAATAAACTGACAGCAAACAATCCACGTTTTTAAAAATAATATATTCAAAACAAGTCAAACGTATATACAAAAATTCTTTACACTGTAGGATATCACAGTTCTATCTGGAACTTAAAATAATTATATTTTTTTCGTCACAGTCCACACAGGTATGTTCACACACTTTAAAATGCACTTTGACAAGGCAAGTTATTTCCCTTTATCTCTGTTATTACAATATCAAAGTGAAACTCACTTTAAATATTGTCCGTTACAGCTAAACTAACAATCACGCAGTGTAACTTCACTTTCACTAACTTAACATTTTCTGACTTAATTCCTTTAATAACTTCTTTAGAAATCACCCATCATGCTAAACTGTCAATCAGTCAGACTAATTCTGTCTAATTATCTCTCACTTAACTTGCTTTCTTGACTTCCTTTCTGAATCTGCACATATTTATAGCACACAACAGAAAAATCTACAAATATCTAGCCCTCTAGTAGTAACAATATTACACATAATGAGAAGAACTTGGAAGCTTCGAGTAAAATAATGTCAACAACTGAACTACACACACGAAATACGACTCAAACCGAGTTATGTAACAAAATTTGTCATAGCTATAGCTCTTAAAAAAATTAACTTTTAACACTCTTGTTATGAAAACTAAATAATCATTAAATATTAGATCATTAAATGAACTAAATAATAACTTTTACACTAAACAGTCTTGTATGTTCAACATGAATAGTGAGCACTAATAAGTTCTCACAAGACCCATTTTATTGGTGCTCATGAGCATCAGTGCAATGACACATATCAAACATGAAGGCCTGGTTACATTTCATAATTGGAAACCAAAGCTTTTGGACACATTAAAAGACAACATATGGAGACTAAGTAAAAAAACTGTGTTTAGTCTGCAGTAAACTTTTCTGTTGCTCATTATTAATATGTCATCTGGTGGGACAGTGGTAAGTCTTCAGATTTACAATTGTAAAATCAGAGGTTCAATTTCTCTTCGTGGACACAGAAAATAGTCGGATGTGGCTTTGCTATAACAACACACACACACATTATTAATAATTTTCAGTTACAATTAACCAGAATAATTCCATTTGAAAAATAAACAAAAAATTAAATATATCATCTAGCCAAAAGTAGTACATTTATCCTGATTATATAATTGATTAATTGTCACATTTTTTTCAATTTCATTGAAGTATTTTTTAGTATGCAATTTTGATTTGACAAATAAGTTCTGTATGTCCATTTAATTTTGCCTTCTCTGTTGAAATTTAAAAAAAAAAGGATAATTTTTCAGTATATTTCTAAATAGTGTACGCTATGAATTAATTAATTTTTTTTCCACATCTCCATCAAACACAGGTGAAAATCAGAATCAGATTGATGAAAGAGATGATAATGGTTTAACACCAGTTGCCTGGGCCAGTGCTTATGGACAGTTAGCTACAGTGCGACTATTACTGGCACACAGAGCCAATGCCACTATAGTTGGACATCATGGAGAATCACCACTTCTCTTTGCAAGTGCAAATGGCCATTCTCACATTCTTCGGGAACTTTTTAATGAACATGTAGATATAGAACATGTTGATGATGTAAGCCTTTTAATTTTATTCAAAGTATATGTATATGTCCACAATCAAGCACAAATTGTTTTTAATTAAACACTTAGATTCTCTTAAACACATGTTGCCATAATTTTTTTTGTTGTCATATATTCTAAAACATTCCAAGTCTTTAAGGCTGAATAAAAAGTTTACTTATATTAAGCTTACATTCATTAGCTTATTAAATCTCTATGCTACTACTATCTTATATTTCAACTGATTCTTTAACAGTGTTTCCATGTAGAAACTTAGAAAAGTATTGTAATAACATGTTAAAAACGTTTAAACTATATAATGAATATTTATGTGATCTGCCCTCTGACAGACCAACAGTAAATCTAAAGGATTCTAACTCTAAAAATTGGTACCCACAGTGAGCAGTGCGCAGATAGTCCATTGTATGGGTTTTTGTTAAACAACAAACAAGTTGTATTATCTAATATTATTCATAAATATTGACCTTTTTAAAGGTTAGTATTTTATGTTTGAATAGATTTAAAATTGGAGAGTTTAGTAGACTTTGATAATAGTCACTTTTGTGATTATGGTGTTTAATGCCCTTGTTCAGTAATTTGTGATATTTCATCACAGCAAGACTAATAATAATTTTACTTACATCTTTACTGGCACTCTATGAGTCTCAGTAAGAAAGGTTTATTATAGCATTTCATGACCGGAGGAGCTCTAGTATTGAGCAGAATGCTTCATCACCAGAAGCATGCCACATTCAAAGTATGCACTTTAAATGCTGTTATACACCTTATTGAAAATATGTGTAGAGCCAGTAAAGAAAGTTGGGAATAGAATTATTATCAGTTTTAGTATGATACAATAACACAAATTATCAAATACTAACTCATTTTTGTTCTGGAAAAATTCTTATCTAGATGTTAATAAGCAGTGCTCATGAGAACTGTGAATGTGTTCATTTCCAAGTGATGGAATAATATACAGTTGCATGAAAGATACTATTAAAATAGTTATGAATTATTACGAAAAGTATTTCTGCATTTTAATGTCTTATATAGGATGGAAATACAGCATTAATGTATGCTGCATTCAACAATCACCCTATGTGTATCCAGGAATTACTTAATGCAGGAGCTAATATAACTGCCAGAAACAATGACTTGCATACAGCATATGAAATAGCTGTTGCTCGAGGAAGCAAACATGGTGAGTTTTTAAAATTTATTTTTATAAATAAGATGGAATATTCTCAAAACAGAATAGAAGTTTCCATAATATGTATTTTAAAATTCAGTAATGTTTAGCAAAGTGACTGTATGTTAATTATGAGCTTATTAACATGCTGTTAGTCTCCACTTCTGTTAGGAATGTATGCTGTTTCTTTATTGCTAACAGTGCATACTACCATGATTCATATTGAAGTATTTCAAAATTTTCTTTTTTTGCTTTATTTGTTTTTACTTTGTATAGGAATGTTTGAGATGCACTTTATAAATCCAACCATTCAGTTAATCTTGAATAACTATTATAAAAAGGTTCTTCACTCAGTAGTAGAGCTCAACATAAAGTTTATATAATATGCATATATATATGTGTGTGTGAGTGTGTGTATATATAGAGAGAGAGCTATACATAAGGAATTTTATGAAAAAAGTTCACATACTTTACTATATCTAAACTTGAAAAGCATGAACACTTTTCTGGCTATATGGTGTAATGAAACAGGTTCAAAAATAGTTCATCAATCATTTCTGAATTAAAAGCTTCCTTAATAGTGGCTTATAACAAACAAATGATACATGCAGTCATGTTTTGTGGTTTTCCCTGGCTTTGAACTTAACATGAAAAATACTAAAATTTTCCTTAAGTAACATTGCTATTTGTGTAACTTCATTTCTTCTTTTTTTGTTTGTTTACATGTCTTGGAGGTATTTCGTAAATTAAGATGTCAAAACTCCATCTTTTCAGCTTATTATTATATTATGCTTAGTAAAAATATTCATTTCACAGTAATTTTAAAAAATATTAATAAATCAAGCTATGTGATAATTTATGATACTTTGTTGTTCACACATGAAAAAGAAAACTTCTTCCAGGACAACATTTTTCTATCAAGACACATGCAATAAACAACTTTTAACAGTTCCTTGCTACCAATAAGTATATAATTATGAAACAAAGGAAAAAGAGACAAAGATTATTAGCACTTTATTGTTAGCAATCCTGATATAACACCATTTTCATTAACAATTGTTTCTTCTTTGTGTAACCTATAGCATATTTGAATGAAATTTAGTATGTATGTTTTCAATAAGTTTTAATAACTTATTTTTTAACATTTGTTTTTTTCTTCTCATATTCTAAGCTGATGGCAGTTTAGTTTTATATTCTGATAATGTTTTCCACTCTTTTAATAGTGTTTTATATTTATAGCTGGTGGCAGTTTAGTTTTATATTCTGATAATGTTTTCCACTCTTTTAATAGTGTTTTATATTTATAGCTCAACAAGTCCTGGAAAAATATATGATGGAAATATTGCTGAAGTCTTGACAAGAACAAACAAAATAAATGAAATTTTTGTAAAAGTGTTTACAACAACATTTTACTCCACATTTTATAAGCAGTAATTGTAAACTGCTCTTAAACAACAGTTCTCACCAACAATAAAGTATGAAGTGTGCTCTAAAACTACCCAGTTAGAGAATGTATTTCCATATTTTGGGATTCTGATTTTAACTTTGTTCGCCTTCACTGTAAAAATGTGTGCAACAATTCTTATGTTCAACAATTTTTCTCATCTTGTGAAATACCAATAACTCTTAACAATCAAAAATACACAGCCGAATGATACTTTTCCCTTGGGATGTCAGTTTTTGAAACAACATTACAACACCTGTGGTAGTACCAGTAATACACTTTTCTTTGACTTAAAGAAAGTCCACAGTATAAGTAAAGATGTGACACAGCATACTCTTTTTCATAGTAATACAGCTACTTTCCTCATTAGCTGAAAGTACTGCCATCTGATATGAAAATAGTTAGTAGCATTTTACTTGTACAAAGGTCTCATTTTTAAAATATACTTTTTCATAAAGTGTTTATAATAGTGGTTATTAAATTTGTCTAAATTATATGTATACTGTGAAAGTAACTAGTGTATTGGAAACATATTGAGAAACCATTGAAAATATTACAGACAACATTAATGCCTATACAAATGCCTCCTCATTTAGTTAAGGGCCTCAATAACTTACTGGAAAAGTTAAAATTATTATTCACTGATAATAATATTACTTTTTCGTTTTTAAAGGTGAATTTGATGTTGATCCTATCTTTAGAAGAAAACTATACATTTATAAGGTAAAATACTTAAGTAAAAACTTTATATACATTACAACTTTAAATGTATACATAATTGAGAATAATAGTTATAAACTATTCTGTGTGGTCCATAGAGCTGATGACATACTTTAAATTAATATATTAATCAAAGATCTAACACTTTTAAAATTAGTTAATTATATTTTTCTTCACTATACATAGGGTTAAGTAAATTATATTAAAACGATTTTGGAGTCTCATCTAATTACAGTCTTACCTTGCCACCTCTAGTCATGCTTTATCTGACAGATATGGATCTTGACAATAGCCCTATGGTACAGTTTTCATTGCAAAATGTTCTGTTGTAAGGCTCTCATGTCCAAAGAACTCCACTCCTTCCTGTGTTTTTTCTATAACCAAATGATGGTTTCTAGCACCCATTTCAATAGTTGTACACACAGGAACACATAGGCACTGCATCCAGTGACTTGACCAGTATGTCTTCATGTATAATAGGATGAATACCCTTTTCATTCTTCAGCTGCTTTATACCAGCTTTGGTTTTACTTGACTTGCTGATTTGCATTTTCAAAATTTTTCTAATGTAATATACTGAGCCCTGTTTAAACTAAAATTAACAAGCATTTACAAATACCACATTTAAACTAGCCAAAACTAAGGCACAATGTTGTTGATTTAGTCTCAGAGTTGATTACATTTTTGTGGTCCAGTTTATATATCCTTCTAAGGATTATAATGGTATAAAATATCTTATACGCACACAGTAATTATCAATAAATCTATTCTTAATGTAAATAAACTGTAAATCTATGAAATGTCACCATGGGAAAGCTTTAATTAAAGCTTAATATTTCATATTAATTTCCTTTTATAAAATATTTTATATTAAACTTAATTGTATGCTGTATACATGTTTAGTTGTTGATAAGAAAGATGTGAAATTATAGAACTCCTAAGAAAATAAAGTTATAAAAAACATGATGCTTGTCTTCTTTTTTCCCTTCTCTCATATTGAGAAGTATGTTACACGAAATTAGCCACTTGCTTATATAGTCATGAAAAATTGGTTTTGTTTGTTATAGATAGAAATCATAATACTATTCCTTTGTGTAATCAACACAAACCTACCTTAATTTCTTTTAACTTCCTTTTTTTTCTTTCACCTTTGTGTTGAATAACCTAACAATCTTTGTAATGTTATTGTTTGCTATTGTACTATACTTATATGACTAATTATTCACAATAATCAAATTGAATTCACTTGGGATGGGCATGGACTAGTGGTTATCTTGTTTGGACTTTGAACCCGGAGGTTCTTGTTTCTTTCGTTGTTACTGCAAAAATTGCACTCTGCAATTTGGGACCATGGTTGTGCTCAGTAGTGTAACTTGGAGGAGACAAGCCAGATAGCTATCTCAGGCAGAGATCCAGTTATTTTAACAGATATTTCTGGACTAAATCTGATATGATTGAGGAAAAATCTCTCGTATATTTTTATTATCATAAACAGGATTGTTTTTATCTTACAATTACATAAGGTAGGGGAACCAGTTTGTCAAACTTTTCTTCGGCACAAAAATACCTAATTGGGTCTGCTATAAGAGTAGTTGTTAGGCCCCACTACTTAGTCAAACAAAAGTAACCTAACAGTTTGCACCAGGTGTTGTTGACTAGCTACTTTCCTCTATTTTATCAGCTCAAAATTAGAGGCAGCTATGCACAGATAGGCATTATGTAGCTTTACATGAATAAATGTATATAAACAAACTTTCAATACCCATTTGTTTAAATTTTAATTTCAAACTGTACTATATGACAATGGGTCCAATTGTTTCTATATTAATGATTTATTCACTCAATATTCAGTCTCAGTTTATTTAGCCATATTTTTAAGTGTTTAATATATCTAACTAAACTAATGTTAACATGCCAGTTCCTTTAAGTTACATAATTGACATTTTAACTTAAAGTTCATAAGAATGTGGGAAATTGTCTGAATGTTATTATTAAGTAGCACAACTATCAGATGTTTTAAAGAAGTGTCTATGAGAAATGCCATTTATCCTTAATGAAGAAAAGTACTTTTAAAGGGGCTAAGATTATTGGGTTTATTTTCTGATGCTAATTTCTCTTTTGATCTTATATGCTTTTCAATATCATGAGTGATGCCTACCAGAAGTCGTGGTTTCTAAGACAGATCCATGTAATTTTCAGTTGAATCATTTTGTTATCTTATAAGAAATAAAAAATAACGTGGAATTTTTTAGTGTGGCAGTGCTACAGGTTATAAGTATTTGTAGACATCACTTATCACATGATCTTTATCATGATGACTTGATTTTAATTTCCTCATATGAATGTTCATATCAGTTTTATGTATTACATGGCTCTTTTGATTTGTAAACATTGATTTGTATCTGTATTTGTCTCATGCACAAAACGTTTGATGTATGCACAATACATAAATTTTACTTTCTTTGTTAAAGATAAAAAAGTTTCCTTCATAGTACACTTCACTATTCAAGTTCATATTTATCAAATGATTAAAACCCTATAACCAGAGAGCTTTCGAAAGGTAAACCTTTTGGTTTCAGGGACAAACTGGGAATGGTAGTGTAACTGAATGAGTGATATATAAAGGGAGTTGGGTGATGTCATGAAGGTCACCTGGGCTTCCAGGAAGTGTTTTTAAATATTTTCCATTTCTGGTGCAATATGGCCAGAAACAAGAGCATTATGTAAAAAGTATTAGAAATGGTCAAGAAAAACTATACTTAAGTGTTGTTAAAGTAAAATAAAGGTGACACCTGGAGATTGAGTGAAAAAGAAATATTAAGCAAATCAGTTTCTAAAGGCAGGCATGGAAAGTTATCATAAATAAATAGTAAGTATTAGAAAAATCATGGGTAAACATTGGCAATTCACAATACATGAAAAAAATAAATAAATAAAAATTACTTTTCTGATTGAGAACAAACAAGTAATCAGAGATCACTGATTCCAGAATCTAGATTTATTCCACAAAGTTGAACAGTATTTGGATTGGCAATCCAATAAGCTCTTTTATCAGCTTTAGTTTTAAAGTCCAATTCAATGCAGATAAGAGAAATATCGTTAACAGAATGACCAGGTTGGTTGAAGTGTTGAGCAACAGGGAAATCTCTGCCTTTGTTTTAGCTATGTTAATCATGTTTTCTTAAAAGGTAAATTTTTAACGTTGATGTTAGAAGTTCATTTCTACGTTATATCAACAAAATATAATGCCATCAGCTATGTTATTACACATGATAAATCACGTTATATTTTCAAAACTAATTCTAAATAATTTGTTTATACTCAGTTACAAAAATAATATTTTAATATGTTTACCAATTACCCAACATTTAGTATTTTTTTCATTTAAAGGTTATATACATGTATATATGTGTGTCTGTCTGCCTGTCTCTAAATTTGATGACCGTGATTACCTAATACCATAATTTCCATCTTAACAAACTGCAGTAAAGGATGGCAAGATTATTTTGACAAACTGTTTGCAGACTCTCCACTATGAATAAATGTTAGATTTCAAACCATGATCAAGCTGACCAAAGGCCCAAAAATTCATTGGAGCTACATCAGGGGATCTATAAGGTATGTAGGTTAATAAAACTGGTGTTATTCCAGTTTCTTTTGTTTTTTCTAGTGAAAACAGATTTTGAAGTGTGGGTTGAAGCTCATTTCATATTTGACAATAGTTACCTCTTACCACCTTAGACAATAAGTCATTGGTCCTACCATTCTTCTATTTTCTGTGATAAAGTGTTTGTTCTTGTTAATCATCACAATGATTACTGTCTGTCTAATTTAACTTGCAACAAAAAACAAATCTTACTTAATGTAAAAGCTGTAAATTGTAATAAAATTACTTAATCAGTAAGTAAACTCAAAACAAAACTATAAGAACAATCTTTATTACAGACAAACACATTACAAAACATAAACAAGGGCAAGTGTATCTGTGGTAGATGTTGAACTGGCAGAGATGTGTGTTGAAACCTTTAATAAATTTTCTCACCAATTCAATGTATTTAACTAAATTGAAAACCTCCTAACCTTACATGAAAATTACCCTCTATGTGAGTACCTGAGATGACACTTTCTTCTCTAGCTTTGTTGGCAGATCTCTCTACTTTAATAGATGATTTTGCTTGCAATTATAAAGTTCCAAGACCTCTATGTGGGTACCTGAGATGACACTTTCTTCTCTAGCTTTGTTGGCAGATCTCTCTACTTTAATAGATGATTTTGCTTGCAATGATAAAGTTCCAAGACCTCTATGTGGGTACCTGAGATGACACTTTCTTCTCTAGCTTTGTTGGCAGATCTCTCTACTTTAATAGATGATTTTGCTTGCAATTATAAAGTTCCAAGACCTCTACCTGGCTGCCTGTTCTTGACAGTAACACTTTAATATCACTATATACTTCAGCATGAGCTACTCTTTTTACCAGTGGGGAGCTTCATTTTTTCTGCCTTTACCTCTAGAGCTATTGTTGTTTCATGGATAAATATTAGTGGTGGAGCCAGATCCAAGGGGTGACCTGCTCGCCTCTTCTAACATGGCTCTCACAGCTCCAGAAAGGTCCTTCCTTTGTGAGGGATGAGGTAGTCCTGCTGAAGTTGAACACACATGTTTATTCTACTGTTTGAAACATCCTTAGATGATACATTAGTTGCTTCTCCCTAGCTTCCTCTTCATCATTGGATTTGGACTTCAACTTTCTAATATTGATCCACTCCTAGGGACACTGGATCTTACATAAGGGTCCAATTAGGATGGAGGGTTCACTGGCTACATCTTTTTTTACTCCCATTGGTAAGGTAGCTAGCACTGATTTTGGAAACTGTGGAAAACTAGTGCTACTGTCACAGTGTCCAGCAATGCATCTTCATACATCAACTTTGGTAACACAAATTTTAGGCTAGCCCCAGGTGTGGAAGGCAACACCAGAAACTCTGCAGCATTGCTAAAAATCAAAGAGAGAGGACTTACATCTGGGTTCATAACAAGAGAACATCCCTCTGGCAAGCTAAAAAACCCAGAATTCGAAATGCAGAGGCAAAATAATTCCAATTAGTCAGAGAAGCTTGTTCAAGGCGTGAATTAAAGTTGTAAAGACCTGTTTACCAAAATACTTTGTCCTTAAAATCCTGTTAAGTATCTGCTCGTTTGTTAATTTCCCATAAAAATTCTTCCCGAGGAACTTCCGTGATACAAGTCCTTTCTTAAATAAAACTAGTTTAT